GGCTCCCCGGTTCGAAATCCCCACGGATTTCTCCTTGCAGCGTGCTCGAACGATTCGACTCCCAGATTACGCAAGAATCGATCATCTTCGGGTATTATGCGTAGTTTAATGGCTCGTGGCTGTTTACTACGGGCGAAGCCGGATCGGACGGGAGAGGAATCCCTCGTTACTATCGACGAGCCAGGTTCCATCTCGCGGTGTGATTTATTGCGAAATAATAGGCTCGAAGTGTCCCGTGCCAGGTAAAGCCTCGACAATGCTTTGAACACCTACGAATTAACTGGATAAATGGTGTTCCCTGCGAGAGAGTGACCATGCGATTGTCGACACCGCGTGGAATCGAAGGACGTGCCTCCTGGACTGTTTCCGGGATTTTTGACTCCCGCAATACTCGATATTTATACACGAAGACACTAAAGATTTCCTTTAGAACACACTGGTATCGACATAATTAACCCTCTATAACCCTAATGTTAATATTTCTTTAGGAAATAACGGCAAAGCAGAGCTAGTGCAGGAAATCATGTCATGATTACCAAGCGTACCAACAGTTAATTGTTTCAGAGCATTCATAAAACTTGATGCCAGAGTTAGTAATAATCGCCACTTTGGATCCCAACACCTACAATCACGAAGCTCCTGTTGTACAGTTCATATTGCCTCTCTACGTGTCGGACTCCTGATTGCGTTCTTTTGCTTCCATTAACTTCATTAAGGAAAAATGCTAAACTTGCAACAGTGTAATCACGTGCGGCGTTACATGTGTAACGATGACTCTGATAAATTCGAGTGTTAACTCTGATGAATTATTCAGGAGAGGAAGATAGAAATCATTCACAGCACTTAGTGGCAGACCTAATGGCAGATTAAATTGAAGAACAAGGTGTGCACGAGGCACCTGTGAAACGATGGATCATGCGAACGTAGGCACATTTATAGCCACACTTTTTGGAGTCCATGAACGCATTAATTCGCTGTTAGATCAAACATTGAGCAAGCAAACTTAGAGAATGTGTAATAGAATCGTTTCATTTGGATCATCTAGAACTGCTCCAAGGTGAACAAATTTTATTCATGGTCCTTTTGAGGCTCTTAAGCGTAAAATAGAGTACATTATACTCGATTCAGTTTAATTAACCCTCTATAGATCGAATATTTATTCTGCAAACAACTTGCAAGGCATTTACTTTGAAATATTTAAAAAATTCAAAGTAATGTTTATCCAAACATGTGATAAATTGTTTGCTAAGCGTGCAGGAAATTTCCCGCATAAATTCGCGGTAACTGGAGGAATCCTTCGCGATTTCGCCAAAGTATTCAATAAACAACGAGCCAGTTAGCGTTTGAAAAATGTTTCTATTTCAACGTTACAGGCCGGTATTTGCTAACAAAATTTAATGGCCGGACATTTACAATACAAATGCTCGCGCAACCGCGAATAGGATTATTATACGGGGACTTTATAATGGTTAGCAGGTCTTTGCCAGTTTCATAAAAAGCGTCGCGTAAAGTATTACTTATGTATGCTCGCGGGCGGTATTAACGTTATTTAACGCTGACTTTTAAGGCAGGCCTTATGAATCGCGGAACGGCGGCCCTCATTGGTCGCGTCCGAGCGAATTAATAGTCGCTCCCTTGCGCGAGACGTGCAATTATCCTATTTTCATCGAAAATCGGTCGGGGCTCGTTTAGATAATGAAATACACGCGCAGCGACGTTTCACAATTAATCCGACCGACCGGTATTTACTACATTTTCTTTCTCGATACGCTGAAACCGCAACCATCCAATTATATGTCTAATTAAAGATAACGAATATTTTTGAGTTGTTAAGTTAGTACTGTGTATTTGCCGAGGGTGAATTGCAGACGTGTGATGTCTTGATAAGGGATGAACGGACAGGGAATCGATACGAAGACGCACAATTAGGGACTCTAATAACGATAATAATCGTAGCACAGAAATAGATAGTCTCTGTCAACATGTTTGTGTAGTATTTTATGTATCAGATTCTACATTTCATCTAACGTATAGATCGCAAGTTTATTTATTATTGGTTGCACAAAATTGTCATCTAGATATGGCTCTTGTCCCCAAAGCAGTAGGTATATTAAAACATTTCTTAAATTATGCCGGGACATTAAATCGAAATTATCAATTCATAGGTTACTTCACGAAGTAAATTATGCATCATAGTTAATGAAGCGTGGTGCTTCCCATTCGACATCATCAAATAACGCAAATTACAACGCGTTTTGTGTTTATGGTCCCATTAGCTCATTTTATAGGCTTCCAGTCCTCACAACCGACCGATCGTTCATTTCGCATTAAAGATTGCAATTGCGGACACGTGGAAAGCGGCTTCCAATCCGAACTTTCTTTTAACGATACTGACTGCGCGTCACTAATGTCCCGAAGAGTGTGTTTATGCGCGATTATATTCTTTACGTGCTTGATACAAATGTTATCGATATTATCCCCTGGCGAGGCTGAGGTTTTTTTATTATTCTCTGACTTAGATTATACATGTTATCATTTTAGTGTATATAAAGTGTTCTCTATATATGAATAAATAAGTGACAATTGAAACATCGAAAATGGATAAACGCAGTAAGAAGAGCGAAGAATAAAGACGAGGCTGAGTCGAGAGGGAAAAGGAGGCGAGGGGTCGAGGATTAAGCGCGAAACGCGGCGACGTCTGGTCGATCCGTTAATCCGCGCGAATATTAACCAGACTCGCGTCCGCGGTCCTCGGTCTTCCATATTTGCTCGGTGACGGCATCCTTCGGCCCCGGTGAACGGCTCGTTGCCATCGAGAACGAATAAAAAATTTTGGAGTAAGGTACTGCATTAACCAGACACCTACTCCAATTCAATTTTTCAACCAAATGCATTCGATCGTAAATACTGAGCCATTAAGCTCTTGGGAAATTAAAAAATACATGAAATGAAACTAATTTTCATAGTTAGTTGTCAAAGCTCGAGTCAGTCATATTACAGAAAATCAACCTTCGAACCTGGTCGAGGTGGTTGTCAAATAATACCAAGAAGAACATACGGAAAATGAAAGATGAAAAGTAAGTCCAATGATTCGCGACATTCCGCGGAAGTCACGCGTGTGTGGTGGTGTCCCACCGAACTGGGGGTGGTCGTAGGCGGAGGGTGGTGGTCGGGGGTGAAAGTGCGCGGCGCGGGATGAGAGAGTCATAAAATCGAGCGAAGTGAACGCCAGGAGGGAGACACTGAGTGATGTCGGTGACAGCCGCCGCCTCTCTGCCCTCCGCCGCCTCCGCCGCCTCCTGTCGCTATTACTCACCCAACGCCGAATACCATTCAAAGTTCGGAACCGCACGTTCGCGACCCAATTCCTGCGTGGAGTCAGCTGTTCGTTCGGTTCATTCAAAGCTCGATCGACCGCCGCCCGCCGGCTGACCATCCCCGTGGCCAAAACGCGACGAATTAATAACCGACGAAAAAGAGGAAGAAAAAACAAGAATAAAATAAAAACAGAACGCGCGCCGCGAGAAAATCGCCAGCTTTTCGCTGCCACAAACGGAGCAACTTGGACGGAAACTGTTCGGTCCTGACAACGGTAATTCTTTCATTGGACTCTTCAAGATTATTCTGGATCTATTTCTTGTAGACCTAGTTTCGAAAGGCTGGAATGAATTTGACTTCAGGTTCACTTTGTTTAGTTTTGAGAAAATTCAAATCTGAGGATATGATAAACACATGGTAAATCCACATAACAATGTTGAATACAGTTTGAAAAGAATTCATAAAATCGAACTTGGTGTTTGAACGTTGGACCTCACATGACCCCTCGCATCTCTTCGCTAGAAGACTCGCGAGGCAACGATGGCTGGCCAACGAGGCGTCCGACGGCCAGCATTTAGCGGAACGTCGTTATTTGTCAGGATCATCGACTGCGTTATTTCGGACGTCGAGGGACCGTCGACGGAATCCTTGCCAAGACCAGAGCGTTCCTACCTTCGCGACTATTCTACTATTTCTGGCGCGATGCGCGCGGGGTTCCTCCGTTTGGCAATGATGCGCGGAAAATTTCGGAGCACGTATGTCTGGGATGAATAAAATCCCTGGATACAAATTTCTAATAACGAGAAAAATTCAACCAACCTTTTGTCTGCTACTCGATGAATAAACATTAGTCTATCGAGGTCCTAGATCTTTTTTTTCTATAGCTATAGTACAGGTTAGTGATACTTCGTTCTAGATTTTGAAATTTGAAGATTTCTGAAGAAATGAGCGTATCTTTGTTCTGCTTTTGATAAAGAACCAACCTAATTACGGTAACAGATGGCTCACTGATCTAATGACCAATGGAATGGATCAAATTCAGAGATGGAGCTGATTCAGAAATGGAGCAGATCAGGAATCGAGCTGATTCAGAAATAAAGCAAATCAGAAATGAAGCAGCTTTAGAAATCAAGCAGATTCAGAGATGGAGCAGCTCGCGAGCCCAACAAATCACTGCTCCGATTTCGATACTCGACACTATTCAACAAAATAGAATGGCACGTAAAGTTTCGCCTACCTAAGAAACCCTTTCGTTCCTTCCATCACTCAGCGCCTTTCGAGCACGCGTGGAGCGTACAGTGCGGTGTGGTGCGATGGAAGCTCGCCCTAGACGCACCGGAGCGACACGACGCGGGAGTACCGTGACGTGAAATCCGTATTCCCCTTAGCTATACGCGGAATCGGAGTATTCTCCCGACCCGATATCGTTCTCGTCCTCGTGTTCGTCGGTCTCCCGTCGTCGTCGTCGTCGTCGTCCGTCGGCGGTCACGTTGGTAGTGGTGTAGCGATGGCGGAGAATACTGTGGTTCGCGGTTCCGTCGTCGTAGCGCTGCGATCGTCAGGCATTGGAGGGGAAGTGGGCGGAGCGATGGGGCGGATTGGCCGCGCGCGATAGGCGTGGTCGCGAACCTCCCACTCCTTGGCGTAGCGCGGCGCTGATTGACAGTTGGCGAACGACTGCGGACGGCGCAGGATCTAAAACCGCGCTAGGCGCTGCTCTCCACGCTCGCTCGGGTCGCTCTTCTCTTACCCGTGGATATACCCGGTGCTTTTTCGTGGGGGAAGAACTCGAAACACGCATATCCCTGTGGCTGCCTTTGCCCGCGCGCAACATATACACCGACCTACCGCCTTCTGTCCGCCCGGAGTTACGAGTGGCACACGCAGTAGTAGTTACGGTCAGGGAGGAGGGTCGGCCGCCGTCTACGCGGACAGCTCTCTCGCGCGTCTCCTCTTCTCTCTCTGCGCGACACCGGTTCGTTCAGTAATCGCCGCGAGGAGGAACGCGCTTCTTCTTACGCGACTCCGTCGTCGACCCCGGGTTTTTGCCTTTATCGAAGGGATATCAGTTTCGACGCGTACGCCGGTTGTGTGCGTCGATCCCGCGCGCACGTTCGAACTACGCGCACGATCCATCGATCGATCGGTCGTGGCAACGCCGCCCGGATTTAAAGCGCCAAGTGGACTGTTTTTTCCCCCCTTGGGTGGCAGAGTGCTTACGAGCTACGCCGAGACACGGGTCACGGCTGTTCTCAGTGTAAACGGAGTCCCTCGCGCGCGAACGTGTCCCTTTAATCTGGTCCGACTCCGTTTCCCCCCTGCTGCGTAGTGGAACCGCGGGACGACGCGTTGACTTGGCGCCAATACTCGAAGGATGTAACAGCCGAGCATCGTCAGTGACCATACAAAACCGGGGGTGTTTTGCGTCGTTTGTGAAACAGTGCTCCGATCAACGGGACGCGGTACAGTGGACAAGAGCAGCCCCGACCAATAATTACGTGATTAGCGATCGTGTTCGTTAGTGATCCGTCGGGTTTCGGTTTCGGAGCAGCGCAAACGCGAGTTCTATCCGTCGGTGATCGAGTAGTCTCTACCGCGAATTATTCGTACCAAGTCTCGTCTAACACGACCTAGAAGAATCTAGTTACCTGAGTTACGCTCCATTAAATTCGAGGAACGATACAGAGGATTCCCAGCGTGCGCATGAGAGACCACGTGCTCAAGTGATCAGAGAGGATAATGTCGCGGCAGTGACGCCACGCAGAGGCAAGGTCTCTGGGCGTCTGGTCAGCGGGTACTTCCGGCGTTGGCCGCGACGATGAGGAAGCACGCGTGTCCGGCCGTAGCCGTGGTCCTCCTGCAGCGTTCAAGCGTGCGTCCCGAGCTCTGCTGACGCTCGCTCCGATTCATCGCCGTGTCACAGCGTCTCGTCGTCGGTCGACTCGGATCCGGGGTTCGTCGAGGGCCGACGGTGCCGCCTCATTTCAGCGTCCATCAGCCCCGAACGGGAACGGGACGACGTCTCTGCACGCCGTCGGGTCGGCGAACGACCCGCGAACATCGCCAAGGACTCACTGCCGACGGCCACCAGCGGATTTTCACCTGTGCATCTGGGCTCCAGACGAGGCTGATCGCGCGATCATAAGTGCGACGAACGGGCATACGCCGCGAATAGTGCGGGAATCGCGTGTGTGTGTGTGAGAGAAGTGGTTACTTGCTTATACTGTGGGAAAATACAGCCGCTACGGTGGCTCAGCACGCAGAGTTCCCCGGCGCGGCCAGGGCGTTCATGGCGCAGCCAAGGGTACGTGGATCTTACATCGTTAAGGATAGATCGCGAAACAAGTGATTCTTAGGCGAGGGCGTCCTTTGTTTTTGTCGTGAATCACGCTAGTCGTGGATCGAAAACGTGTCCGTCGATGTGTGGAGATGGCGGGTATTGCGTTTGGAGTAGGCATGTGCTCTGGGTGTCCTTTGGTCTTGAAATGTAATTTAGAAAGATATATAGCCTCGTGAGAGTGTCCTTTATGATACTAGCTTGAGGAGAATTCGAGTTTCATGGGAATTTGTGGCCTCCGCGGTGAGTGCTGACGCAAAGTGTTTGGTATAGGAGAGTTTGAATCCGAAGCGAAAACTAAAATGTTCCCCTGTCCAGTGAACGATAAGTAACTGTCGCGAACCCCAATATTTCCGTCGGTGGATGGACTTTATCTATGTAGGTGAAGATGGTCAGGCTTCTAGGATAACTTCTATCTTATATGATGTAAGAATATTTACCAAGTAAATATTCTTCGATCTCTTAGATTTTTTCTAAATTCGAATTCCCGCACTTTTTGAAAAAACTCAATGACTCAAGCATCAAAGGAGCAGGGTGGAGCGATTTTCTTCTATGAGTGTAAGAATCTATTCTACTCTGATGGACATTCGATTTGCTTAGGAATCTGTGGCCTCGAAGTGTTAGATACAATTGAGTTCCATTTGCCTCGTGAATGATAATTATCGTGAACTCCAACGTGTCCGTCGGTGGGTGGACTATGTATCCTTATCTTTCGGTGTAGAGATGATCAGGCAACTTGGGAAACTTGCATCATCGTTAGTGTAACACAATTTACACCACACTACAAGTGTGCAACGTAAATGTCTTCTAACCCTTTGTACTCCAAATGTTTTCATTCAATATGAGTGACTGGCACCTTCGTGTTCTGTGAAAAGTGCTTTTCCTCTAAAGTAAATTTATAAAAACTCACACCTTAAATTTTATTCCGTCAATTTAATTCGTGTTGTAAGTAATATTCAACCTGAGTTGTGGTTCGTATAGTGGCGCCAGTGGAGTGCGAAGGATTAGATGGTATCGGGAAAGTGCTCCATAAATTTGTAGTAATACATGTTAGATATGAGTTTACAAAAAATTCGCGTTTCGTAAGAATGATACCAGTTCGTGAATTCTGACGAAAGTGTCTCGCCCGGTAGAGATTGAGACTATCGATAAAAAGTGTAAGGTATTTGGTAGGAAATGAATAGTGAATTCAAGCTTTGTTGTCTTGTGAATCGTAGTCATCGTGAACTTGAAAGTGTCCGTCGGTGGGTGGACACTGTGTCGAGTTGAAAGTGGTTAAGCTACGAAGTGAAAATGCAAAATTCAAGTGTAGTACATGTTGTATCTGTGGGTACTAATAACACACGTGCTTTCTTGGCCATTTTTTTCTTATAATGGTGACTGAAAATGTAACCGCGATAGTGACAGGAGGTTCAACTTGGAATAACTAATGTTAGTCCGTCAGTCATCGACGGACGGTATAATACGAGATTTTAAAGCAAAGCATGTTTGCTAAAATGAATTACCATTTTGTACATGTTGGACCTCGATGCGTAGAAAATAATAATAAAAAAAAAATATTTTATAAATATTCCTATTTCACTCCAAGTGATCCATAGTATAGCGCTCCAATCCAGGTAGCTTTCCCCCTAAGTTTCCTTTGATGTAGCGAGGCAGAGAGTTCGCAAAAAAAATTCGAGTTTCTAGCAGAGTTCAAATCTGTCGACTAGCTTCGAACCGAGTAAGATATTCAGTAGTCGACGAGTTTGTACACAGAGTTGAACGTAGAAGGACTCCGTTGTTTACGTGGAATCTCGCTGTAATTGAGCAACGTTGGCTCTATCGCGCATAGTAGTGATCGACGACCAAATCAATAGAATGGTTTAAAGGATTCGCAGTTTGATTCATAAACATATTCTCTCGTTCTGAATGGCAGTAGCCTTTCATTCTAGGAATTCAAAGCAAATCGAGTTTGTCTCGTCGATCGACTCCAGTGACGTGCAACACATTCGAGATAATCTAAATAAAAATTATAAAACACGAGTGAAAAGTAACTTTCGACGCGTTATTCGTTTGATAAAAATTACAATCAAATTACTTGCATTTCACGTTGAACGAGTGAAGCTTATTCGATTAAGCGTCCAATCGAATGAACGTTGGAAATAAATGTCTGTGCGAACATTTTATTTGTCACGTATTATTCGAATAAAATTCTCTTTGCACTATAGAAATCCTTTATCAGTCGAATATAATAGAGTGTAACAGGATACTGTAGAATAGAAGAATCAGTAATTTCCGAATGAAAGTGTGGTGTCAACGATCAAAACCATAGTGTTTGAATAGATATATTCTCCTATTCATAGTGCTTTCGTCTAGGTTGGAATTCAAAGGAAATCTACTCCGTTTCTTCTTCATATTGTTCATATGAGTACGGTAGATTCTCTTTGTAGATGTACTGGTGTATAAATTCTGTCAAAAAATTCAAGAAAATCAGTCGTTTCTTGTCTTGTCTTTCGTTTCGTCTCTAGAATAAAGAAATATCTTTCTATTTGAATAGAGTGCAATCACTTTTAAAATGAACGTCAGTATGGGGTCCTATTATAACGTTTAAGAGTACAAATTGTTTCTCGATGAATATTTATCGTGTGAAAGTGTGGTGTTGACGTCTACGAGTAGAATCATAGGAGTGTTCCAAGGCTTTCAAAACTAAAAATTCTTCTTAACCAGACTTTTGAAATTCAAAAATGAATACACAATAATACCGTGTAGTTCAAGAAATTAAGTTCAGTGAATAACGCCCAGTATTCCCAGTAATATGTATCGCACGAATTGCGGTTTGGAGGATCAGAAATTCATCGAAATAGCCCCGGACAACCCAGAATTATCCTTTTACGTATGGTCGAACGCCCGCAGACATTCGAGGAATTGATTACGATTCTTGTCGTCGACTGCAGTTTCGTTCACGCGATTTCAGATCATCGGTTATACACGAACTCTTATTGGGAACTTGCAGTTGTTCAGAAAAATGACAGTTCAGCTGCTCCTTAGCTGGCCGTCGGACGCGATACACCGTCGAATGGGATTCCATTCTCGCATTTCCGACTTGAAACATCTTTCCGATGGAGGTGCTCGTCGTCTGCGATATTTGGAGTTAGGGATATTTCGTTGAGTTATTTTGGAGTAAGATTATTGACTGAAAGTTTTGGTGTTAGATGACTGATTGTATATTTTGGAGTAAGATCATGTTCTCCACATTTTGGAGTGAAACGATCGACTGAACATTTTGGAGCAAGATGACTGACTGAACGTTTTGGAGTAAGATAATTGATTGAACATTTTGGAGCAAGATTGGACGTTTCGGAGTAAAATAAAAATAATATAAATTTGCAATGCAAACGATGAATAACGTCTACTCGAAATATTTCAGAAGTGCTACGATTAGAATATGCTTTGTGCTATGACCAACAAATATTGCCTAAAGTGAAAAACAGTGTTTCGTCGCGTACAATAGTTCTATTCAGTGGTCGTGGAAAGTTCCCCGTCGATAATTGTAATACAGTTTTGTTCGTCGCAATGTCAGAGCGGAGTTAATTTTAGGCGGAGTTTTCCGTGGAGTTTTTCCAATTTCCGCGACGCGCACAGTTTTATCGCGGCTCGAGCAAGTGAAAAATGGTATCTGCACCGATAAAGAGCTTTACGCGATCGGAGATAACCGTCAGATCGCTCGCGTGCCCGCCGATTTTTCGAGTGACGGAACCAAAACACACGCGCGCGACGTTCCAGGCATCGAAGCGTCCCGCCGTCGGCATGACGCTCGACGTCGGCGTCCATATCGCGACGAAACGTTTCCGTCGACCTCTGAATAGGTCGCTATCGACGAATTACCTTGTTATCGCCCCTGCAATTTTCCTTTTTTCCTCCAAAATTGGATCTCCGTTCGCGGATGGCTTCTGACACCCCACCTTCTTTAAACATTACGATTACGGAAGTCTGTGGTCTAATCGATCGAGATAGGTAGAATAATTGCAGGATGGTTATTTCAACAAGTGTGATTAAAATAAAGTGTTTCGAAAAATTGGTAATGTGTGATATCTGTTAATGAAGTGTGGGGGATATTTCCTTGAGCCGTTAGAATAATTACAAAGAATTGTTTATTAAGGCGCTTTATTTTGAGCGTATTGTAGTACGACTCCTTGAAAGGAAGTTCTCTAGGATATCTTCTTTTTTACTTTAATTATAATATCAATTAGAAAAGAGTCTTTCATTCGCATAAAGAATTTTCCGTCTGACGTCCAAACCGAAGATTATGATATCTCACGATATAATGCTATCAAGTATGAAGCGTTTTGGTTAAAATTCATAAACACGTACACAACGAATTCGGAAGTGTGGAATGCGAGTAAAGTGTCGAGCACGAATCAGGATGATGTTAAGTACGAATCGTATGTTTCTGCGTTGAGTTGCGTTAGGTCACGCGGTGACATTTTCCTGAAATTTGAATTTTAATCTCCGTACGTTGATATGCGCGGAATGAATTTCGAAAGTAGTTTGGCTTCCAATCTGTATATTGATATAGTTTTATTATTATTTATTAATATCGACGATGATAAAAGTGTGGTGTACAATGCAGAAGTAGTGGGTCGAAAAAATGTGTATACTTGCGCTTAGAGTTCAGCATAAGTTAGATAGGAACGAATCGGACGTTTATGACTGGGAAAAAATCTACATAATTACCATAGGAGTGTGGAGATACAATATTGCGATTTATTGGATCGCATGTTATTAGGTAATGTGGATTGTCTTGGTACGTGTAATAGGAATACTATAATTATTGGTTACGTCGAGCCAACGATGCCGTTGTTTACTTACGGTCAGACATTAGTACGACATGTCAGTTTAATTATAATTAATTTCGTAAGTATGGAGATGTTGATCTTGGAGATATATTCCCCTTTTAATTTGTTTTACAATTATGCTTAGAGATCATC